GTAGTTACATGAACATACAACAGACAGCAATATTATATTTATATAGAAGTAGTTACAAGAACATACAACAGACAGTACTATGATATTTATATAGAAGTAATTACATGGACATACAACAGACTGTAACATTATATTTATATAGAAGTAGTTATATGAACATACAATATACTGTATTATTATTTTTGTATAGAATTGGTTACATGAACATACAAGAAACAGTACTATTATACTGCTATAGAATTGGTTGCATGAACATACAATAGACAGGACTGTTATATTTATATAAAAATTGTTACATGAACATACAACAGACAGTAAATATGATGTTTATATAGAAGTAGTTAGATGAACATACAAGAAATATAACTATTATATTTATATAGAAGTAGTTTTATGAACATAAAACACACAGGACTATTATATTTATATGGAAGTAGATACATAGAAAGACAAATGACAGTACTATTATATTTATATTGAAGTAGTTACATGAACATACGGCAGACAGTACAATTATATTTATATAGAACTAGTTATATGAACGTACAACAGACAGTACTATTATACTTATATAGAAGTGGTTACATAAACATACAGCAGCAGGACTATTATATGTATATAGAAGTAGTTACATAAGCATACAACAGACAGTAATATTGTGTATATATAGAAGTAGTTACAGGGACAGACAAATGACAGTACTATTATACTGATATTGAAGTAGTTACATGAACATGCAAGAAACAGAACTATTATATTTATATAGACGTAGTTATATGAACATAGAACAGACAGTGCTATTATACTTATATAGAACTAGTGATATGGACATACTACATATAGGAATTTTATAGCTATATTGAAGCTGTTACATGAACATACAACAGACAGTACAATTATATTAATACAGAAGTATTTACATGAACATAAAATAGACAGTACTATTATATTTATATGGAATTAGTTACACGGACAAACAACAAACAGTACTATTATATTTATATAGTCGTTTTAGATGGACAGACAATGGACAGTAATATTATATTTAAATAGAAGTATTTACATAAACATACGTAAGACAGTAATATTATATTTATATAGAAGTAGTTATATGAACATACACAGACAGAACTATTATATTTATATAGAAGTAATTACATGAACATACATGAGACAGTAATATTAGATTTACATAGAAGTTGTTACATGAACATAAAATAAACAGTAATATTATATTTATATAGAAGTAGTTACATGAACATTCAACAAACATTACTATTATGTTAATGTAGAAGTAGATACATTGACAGACAACCGACAATACTATTATAATTATGTAGAAGCAGTTACATGAACAGACAGCGGACAGTACTAATATATTTATATTAGAACTAGTTTCTTCGACATTAAACATACAGTACTACTATATTTATACTAGAAATAGTTACATGAACATACAAGAGACATTACTATTATTATTATATAGAAGTAGTTACATGAACATATAACAGACAGTACTATTATATTTATGTAGAATCAGTTACATGGACATACAACATACATAACGATTATATTTTTATTAGAAGTAGTTACATGGACAGACAACAGACAGTACTATTATATTTATATAGAAGTAGTTACATGAACTTACAACAGACAATACTATTATATTTATATAGAAGTAGTTACTTGAACACATAACAGGCATTAGTATTATATTTATATAAAGTAGTTACATGTACATACAACAGACATTTATATGAACATACATAAGATAGTAATATTATATTTATATAGAAATAGTTACATAAACATACAATATACGGTTCTGTTATATTTGTATTAGAAGTAGTTACATGGACAAACAACAGACAGTAATATTATATATATATAGAACTAGTTACATGGATAGACAACTGACAGTAATATATTATATTTATATAGAACTAGTTACATGAACATTCTTAAGATAGTAATATTATATTTATATAGAAATAGTTACATAAACATACACAGACAGTACTATTATATTTATAAAGAATTAGTTACATGAACATACAACAGAGAGTTCTATTATATTTATATTAGAAGTAGTGACATGGACATACAACAGATAATACTATTATATTTATATGAGAAGTAGGTACATGGACAGACAAGAGACAATACTAATAAATTTATTTTAGAAGTAGTTACATAGACATACAACAGAGAGTACTGTTGCAATTAAATAGTAGTTACACGGACATAAAATAGACAGTACTATTATATTAATATAGAAGTAGTTACATGGGCAGACAACAGACAGTAATATTAAATCTATATAGAAGTAGTTACATGGAGAGCAAAGTAGAGTAATATTATATTTATATAGAACTAGTTACATAAACATAGATAAGACAGTAATATTATATCTATATAGAAGTACTTACATGAACATCAACTAGACAGTAATATTATATCTGTATAGAAGTAGTTACATGATCATAGACACAGTACTATTATGTTTAAATAGAAGTAGTTATATGAACATACAAGATACAGTCATATAAAAATTATATATAAGCAGTTACATGGACATAGAACAAACAGGACTATTAGATTTATATTAGAAATAGTTACATGGACAGACAACAGACAGTAGTATTATGATTATACAGAAATAGTTACATCAAAATACAATAGACAGTACTATTATATTTATATAGAAGTAGTTACATGAACATACACAGACAGTATTATTATGTTTAAAAAGAAGTAGTTATATGAATATACAAGAGACAGTTATATTATATTAATATAGAAGTAATTACAGGAACATACATAAGAGAGTAATATTATATTTACATAGTAGTAGTAGTTACATGGACATACAACAGACAGTACTTTTATATTCATATTGAATTAGTTACATGGACATACAACAGAGAGTAATATTATATTTACATAGTAGTAGTAGTTACATGGACATACAACA